TTCACCCTGTTGACAAGGGTAGTCTTCGACTCCTGAGCTCAAACGATCTGCCCACCTTGGTCTTGAAAAGTGCTGGGATTACCGGCGTAAGCCACCATGTCAAGCCAAAATTTTGTTTTTAACACTGTTTTCAGCAGCTGTGGCAGGCAGCCCCTGAGATGACCCCCAGTCCCTGGTATTTTCGCCCTTGTGTGGTCTTCTCCCCTTGAGTGTGGGCCGGACCTACGGATTTGCTTCTAAGGAACAGAAGACAGCAAAAGTGATGGCATGTCACTCCCAGTACTGGGTTACAAGAAGACAGCGGCTTCCATCTCAGGCGCTTTCTCTTGTCCCACCTGCTTGTGCTGAGGAGGTAGGCTGCCTTCTTGTGAGTTACCCTACGCAGGCTTCATGCAGTATGTAACTGGTAGAGTTTGAATGTTGAAATATAATCCCCAGGGTTGGCGGTGGAGTTCTAGTGGAGGTGATGGGCTTATGGGAGTAGATTTCTCTGGAATGTTCTAGCACTATCTCCCGGGGGACTGTCCTGTGATAAGTGAGTTCTCATGAAATCTGGTCATTTAGAAGTCAGCAGCGCCTCTCCTCTCATCCTCTTGCTCCTGCTTTCACCCTGTCATGTGCCTGCTCCCCTTGACCTCCTGCCATGATTGGAAGCCTCCTGAGATCTCCCCAGGAGCAGATGCTGCCTTGCTTCCTGTTCAGCCTGCAGAGCCAGGAGCCACTGAAACCTCTTCCCTTGGAAGTGACCCAGTCTCAGGTATGTCTTCCCAGCAATGTGAAAATGGGCTAATCCAGCAACGGAGGGAGGCCAGCAGCTGGTGAGAAAATGCAGCCTGTGTGCAGCCACACGAGTGAGCTTGGAATCATTGCTCTGAGTCCAGCCTTCTCATGGGACCACATCCCCAGCTCATGCGTTGATTGCCGCCTTGGGAGAGACCTTAAGCCCCAGGCACACAGCTAAGCTTCTGACCCACAGAAACTATGAGATAATAAATGTTAGTTGTTTTAAGCCTTAGGTGGGGTGGGGCAGTAAGAGCTTGCAAGGCTGCTGCATTCATTCATTCATTATTGATAGCTAATGCAATGGTCGATGACTGTGGTTATTGATTAGTTATGATAATGAATGAAGCAGCCTTGTGGGTTTTGATTGCATTGGCGAATGGACAGCACATCTTAAACTGGGCCCAGAATCTCCTCCAGGTGCCAGAGGCGATCTTTGCTCCCTCGGGAGGACAGCATCAAAGGTGTCATGGAAATGAAGCTTGCTTTGGCATCTAAACAGTTCGTGGTTTTTTTCCTCAAAAGATGTGTTAATGGAAAAGTCTGGGAAGAAGTCGCCCAGCTTCTGGGGGTCAGGCATTTGTCAGAGTGCCCCGCTGATTTTTGTACTTTTTGTAGAGATGGGATTTCACCATGTTGCCACTTCCAACATTGGGGATTATATTTCAATATGAGATTTGAGTGGGGACACACATCCAAACTATTGCTTACTTGCTGCATGAACCCTACGTAGGGTAACTCACAAGAAGGAATGGGTCACTCATTCTCGCGGCTAGTCTTTCACAGTATCAAACTAGGTCAGGAGTTTCCACCAACAGGGCTGGTCCAGCTATTTGGATCAATAAGCCCTGATTTGTTTTTCCAGAGAATGAAAGCTCTGTTTACATCAGAAGGGCTATGGTAGAAAAGAAGAGCTTGACTTATTTTCTGAGGTCCCAAGAGATCAGAAAATTTCAGTTTCAGCTGGGCATGGTAGCTCACATGTGTAATCCCTACACTCTGGGAGGCTGAGACAGGAGGATTGCTTAAGCTCAGGAGTTTGAGACCAGCCTGGGCAACATGACAAGACCCCATTTCTACCAAAAACAAAAATGAAAATAAATTGGCCAGGCTTGGCGGCATGTGCCTGTAGTCCCAGCTACTCAGGACACTACCGTAGAAATATCACTTGAGCCTGGGAGATGAAGGCTGCAGTGAGCTGTATTCACGCCACTGCGCTCCATCCCGAGTGACAGTGTGAGGCCTTGTCTTGAAAAAAATAAAAATAAAATAAAATGTCAGTTTCATAAGGGGAAAAGCTTCCTGCTAATCGGAGCTGTTGTAGTATGCCTGGATGGGTTCATCCGGTAGGTAGCTTCTTGCAGACAGAGGCACAGCCTGGATGTCTCCGCAGGAATATTGCGAGAGGTTCCAAGTATCAGGCTGAGTTTACTGATTTACTAATTCAACAGATGTTAATTCTACATGCTTCAGTTATGGAATCCTGTAAGTGTAGAACTGATGACCAGAGGCTTACATGAAAAGGGATTTGTTTTTTCTACCTGACTGAGAATTTGGGGGTGGGTGATTGCTGGTGGTGTTGCACTGGGTCAATAGTGCAAGGTGCAGAATCTCTCCGATTCCTTTGTCTGTGGTGCCTGAGATGGCCACACAATGGCCCCTATAGCTGCAGATGTCACACCGGTGTTCATGATCACGAACCTGCTGCTGAGAAAACGGCAGCATCTGCTGTGTCTTTTCATTTTCCAAGAGAGCAAAAACTTCCCTTGAAATCAGGGGCATGCTGGCATTTTGGGAGAGAAGCGAAAGCGGAAGGTCCTGATTTTTAACCATTGCCAAAACTGGGTAAATTCTTCCACTATGTCTGATTTCAAGCTACCACTATGACATTGCTGACTCTGGAGCTGGGAAGAGAAGTCCGCGACACACCGTGGTTTAGGATTTCCACCTCCTGACGTGGTCCACGCAAATCTTTAAGAACACAGGTAAGAGTGAAATAATCAGGACATAATGCATTTTGATGATTTACTGTCTTTGTTTTAGATATACTTTCAAGTAATTATATAAAATTAATACATATAATTATACAATTATAATACAGAAATGTATTATATACTTACATAATACATTTATAATCTATATATTTATATATAAATATATAATACATTAATTGTATATTTATATAAAACACATACTAATTATATATTTATTAATACATAAAATATGCTTCTTTCTTTCTGAGACAGGGCCTCACTGTCACCCAGGCTGGAGGGCAGTGGCACTATCATAGCTCACTGCAGCCTTGAACAGATGGGCTCAAGTGACCCTCCCACCTCGGCCCCGAGTGGCTAGGACTGCAGGGGCACACCACCACGCCTAGCTAATTTTAAAATTTTTTGTAGAGACAGGGTCTCGCTTTTTTGTTCAAGACCTAGGCTGGTCTCTAACTCCCAGGCTCAAGCGATCTTCCTGCCCTTCCTGATCTTCCTGCCCTGGCCTTCCAATGTGTTGGGATCACAGGCGTGAGCCACTGCACCTGGTCTACTGCATTTTTAAATTTGTGAGTTTATATAATTTAATCTTTTTAAGTACTGAGTGTGTTGAACAACTAACTTGCAGAATTCCCGATCAACGGACCGTCACTCTCATGGTCTGGCTTAAATCGTCCCAGCACACCACAGCTAGAAACCTTTCAGCCAACTTCCACTTACGTCTCCCTGGCTAGGACAAAGTCGCTTGGCTACTCCCCACTAAGAAGGATTCTGGAAAGGCAAGAAACTATTTTGTTTTCTTTTTTTTTTTTTTTGAGACGGAGTTTTGCTGTTGTCACCCAGACTGGAGTGCAATGGCACGATCTCGGCTCACCGCAACCTCCGCCTCCTGGGTTCAAGCAATTCTCCTGCCTCAGCCTCCCGAGTAGCTGGGACTACAGGCGCACACCACCATGTTTAGCTAATTTTTGTATTTTTAGTAGAGATGGGGTTTCACCTTGTTGACCAGGATGGTCTCGATCTCTTGACCTCATGATCCACCCACCTCGGTCTCCCAAAGTGCTGGGATTATAGGCGTAAGCCACTGCGCCTGGCCGACTATTCTGTTTTCTATAATGGAACGTGACCAGGGAGAAGGCAGCTGGGAGGGCCTGCTGGTTCCTCCAACCAGCAGCCACCATCGACCAGCTGTGCTAGAACTGCACCATGCTGGGCATTTGAAGCACAGTTATGAGCAAGAGTTTCCACTTCTCTTCTCGTGGGGCCTTCACACTAGTGGCAGGAGACAACTTTTTCTTTTTTTTTTTGAGAAGGAATTTTGTTCTTGTCACTCAGGCTGGAGTGCAATGGTGCGATCTCGGCTCTCTGCAACCTCCACCTCCCGCAGTTCAAGCAATTTTCCTGCCTCATCGTCCTGAGTAGCTGGAATTACAGGCAAGTGCCACCACACCCAGCTAATTTTTGTATTTTTAGTAGAGGTGGAGTTTCACCATGTTGGCCAGGCTGGTCTCGAACTCCTGACCTCAGGTGATCTGCCACCTCAGCCTCCCAAAGTGCTGGGATTGCAGGTGTGAGACACTGCGCCCAGTCAAGAGGCAGATGTTAAATACATAAGTATAATTGTGGTGAACGCAAGAAAGAAGAAAGTGAGTGAAGGGAAGGGACCTAAGTCATGGTCTTATATTCTAACACTTTCATAGGCAGTAACTAAACACTTAGAAGCTTAAGACAGTCAGGCATGGTGGCTCACGCCTGTAATCCCAGCACTTTGGGAGGCCGAGGCGGGCGGATCACGAGGTCAAGAAATCGAGACCATCCTGGCCATGGTGAAACCCCGTCTCTACTAAAAATACAAAAATTAGCCGGGCGTGGTGGCACGTGCCTGTGGTCCCAGCTACTCGGGAGGCTGAGGTGGAAGAATCGCTTGAACCCAGGTGGAGGTTGCAGTGAGCCGAAATTGCGCCACTGCACTCCAGCCTGGCGACAGAGTAAGACTCTGTCTCAAAAAAAAAAAAAAAAAAAAAAAATGAAGCTTAAGACAACACACACATTTAACCCAATTTTGGCAAGTGAGGAGTTGAGTACATTTCAAGGGTCTCACCCTAAGCAGCTGGGCTGCATCCTCACCTGAGGCTCCACCAGGGAAGAATCCATTTCCAGGTCCATGGAGGTTACTGGCAGAATTCATTTCCTTGGACCCACTTGGCAAGGGCCCGGCTTTTTGCTTCCTTGCCTACAGGACCCCTCCAAAGGTGTCTTGCTCCCGCAGAGCTTGCAGGTGGAACCCCTCTCTCTAGTCTGTGAAGGTGATGTGCCCTTGAAAGTGACATCCCATTGCTTTTGCCAGGCTCTAGGGTTAGAAACCAGTTCTGCTTGTACCCAAGGTCAGGAAGATTATGCAAGGGCAGAGGTCATCGGTCAAGGGTATGGGAGGGGTCAGTCCCTTTAGGGTGTGGCTGCCACCACTGAACTTGTCAAGACTTTAAGCGTTGGTAGGAGCTGGCCAAGTACAGGGCTGAGGGTGTGTCAGGCAGGGGTGAAGACATGGGGGGACGCAGAGGCCTGCATCCGGGAATAACTGTCCTTTCCCCCCCTGAGGCTTTGTTCTCCTGATCCCTGAGTACATCACAGAACACAGTGGGGCCCTAGCTGGGGAGAGGCAGGAAAGCAGCTGATGTTCATGGGGGAGCTTGTTAGGGAAATCAGATCAGAGGCCAGGCTTTTTCAGTGGTGGGTGCAAGTGTGCGTGTGAGTGAGTGTGCAGGTGTGCGTGGGAAGGGAGAAGGGGATGGGGTCTGCCCCAGTCACCATCGACATCTTCCCTGTGCTTCCACCATCCCAGCAGCATCCCTGAGTGAGTACCTTAAGGACGCAGGTTCTGTTCTGCACACAGAAGTCAATCAGAGTGGGATACTGCCTTGCCTTAGAGAGGTCACACTTCATTCATTTATTTTATTTTTAAACTTGAGACAGAGTCTCTCTGTTGCCCAGGCTAAAGTGCAGTGGCAGGACCTAGGCTCACTGCAACCTCCGCCTCCCAGGTTCAAGCAATTCTGTTGCCTCAGCCTCCTGGGTGTCTGGGATTACAGGCACACTCCACTGGCTAATTGTTGTCTTTTAGTTTCACCATACTGGTCAGGCTCGTCTCAGACTGCCGGCCTGGAGCGATCTGTCAGCCTCAGCCTCCCAAAGTCTGGGATTACAGCCTGAGCCACCGCCCAGGCAAAAGGTCACACTTCTTGGGCGAGGGGTCACACTTCATGCTGAGTGGGAGGCAGCCACTCAGACAGCACCTCAGCTAGCGCTGGGAGTGAGGGGTGTGGGAAGAAGGACGGGAGGAGGATTTGAGATTTTCGCCTGAGCAACTGGGTGAATGGAGGGGCTGTTTACTAAGAATTGCAAGAATGTGGATGAGCAGGGTGGGGCGCTGATAAAGCACTCTGTTTTGACGCGCAGAAAATTTGAGATGTCTCCTGGTGTCCAACTGGGGCTTTGGGAGTGGTCAGGGCTGGGCATCTGACCTGGATGGACGTCTCGGGCAGACAGCAGAGCATGTGGATGGTTCGTGGAGGCCAGAAGGGTATGAGATTTCCTGTAGCAGTGCCCATTGCAAATGGGAGGGCATTTGGCCTGAGCCAAGACATGTACAGGTTGGGGAGAGAAGGGGGTGGGTCCCTGAGATCCACAGAGGGGCAGCTATGGAGGGAGAGAAAAACTGAGTATGTGGGGTCACATGATGCAGGAAGCTCAAATAAGATGAGAAAAGAGGTTTTAAAGATGATCAGGGCTCAGGACAATGGTTCCTGCCTGTAATCCCAGCACTTTGGGAGGCTGAGGCAAGAGGATAGCTTGAGGCCAGGAGTTTGAGACTAGCCTAAGCAACATAGGGAGAATTTCTAGAAATAAATGAATACCATTGGTACTTGGCATTGCAGGTGGGGAACAGCAAACACACAAAAGCTGTGAGGCAGGAAAGGGAAGTGATTAGCTCTGGCTCCTGCCCCGTTTATTAGGCGTTAAAGAGACACACTGACATCTCAGATCCTCCTTGGCTGAGCTCCTTCAAGGAGGGCCCCAGTTTGGTTCTGCTTCACTCCTTTTTTTTTTTTGGAGACAAGAGTCTCACTCTGTCCCCCAGGCTGGAGTGCATGCAGTGCATGATCTCTGCTCACTGCAATCTCCGCCTCCCGGGTTCCAGTGATTCTCCTGCATCAGCCTCCCGAATAGTGAGTAGCTGGGACTACAGGCACGCACCACCACGCTCGGCTAAGTTTTTGTATTTTTAGTAGAGACAGGGTTCACCATCTTGGCCAGGCTGGTCTCGAACTCCTGACCTCAAGTGATCCACTTGCCTTGGCCTCCGAAAGTGCTGGCATTACAAGCGTGAGCCACCACTCCCGGCCCTACTTTACTCCTAACGCTTCCAAATGTTTGTGTAATGACTAAAAGATGAACAGTGGATGGGACTTCGGGCGGCAGGCAATCCTGTTCCTAGTGCCTCAGTTTCCCTTTCTGTAAAGCAAGCCTGTCTCTTGCTCTCTGCCCAAAAATCCTGAGCTCTGGGCTTGAGATGAGAGAGTCCTGCTGAGCCAGCACCAAGTGGACGATGAGCTGGGCCTTCTAGGAGGCGAGGATCTGGCCAGCTCTGGGACCTGCCCTCCCGCGGGACCCCGCAAGCCCAGCCCCAGCGCCGCCCCGCCCAGCCTTCCTTTGTTTCCCCCAGGCCCCGCCCTCTCCGGGCAGCTCTCTTCCTATTGGCTGGGGGGCGGGCCCTGGGCGCCCGGCTCCGCTGGGGGCGGGGCGGCAAGCGGCGGGCGGGGCCGTGTGCGCCTGCGCGGTGTCCGTACCGGCCGAAACCTCTAGCCGGCAGCAGCTCCGCCGGCCGATCCGGAGCCCGAGCGAGGAACACGGGCTGAGGCTGAGGCTGCGGCCCCGCCCCGGGGCTCCATTGTTGAGGCGGCCGCGGCTCTGTCGGCTGCTCCGCCGCGCTCCATTCGGCCCAGGCGCCGCGGCGAGGAGGGAGCCCTGCGAGGCGGCGGCGGCCTGAGGTGAGACGGCGCAGCGGGCGGCGGGGTCTCCGGACCGGGTAGGGGTCTGTGTCCCGGGCGTGGCGGCTCCCAGCGGGGTCCGGGGTCCGGGTCCGGGGTCCGTGCGCCCTGGCTTTGTCTCGGCCTCGGGTGGCACCGGGGGCTCCGCGACTGCTGCGACGCCGCGTGGGCCAGCGCGGGGGTCCCGTCACCCCGCGGGTGGGGTCCGGTCCCCACTGCTCCCCTCGACTGCATGGATCCGGGCGCGCGCTCCTGCCCGGTCCCCCGTGGGGTAGCTGGTCCCCGTGTGCCGCAGAGGGGACCCTGCGAGGAACCCACTCGTGGGGCGGGGTCCGGGTCACGGCGAGTGGGAGGCTCCGTCGTCCTCCCCGCCTCCCCCACGGCGTGGCTGCTTCGCCCGCGTCACTGACGGGACTGCGGGGACCCTCGGAGGTGGGGGTCCGTGACTCTGCGTGGGAGCTGCTTCCCGGCCCCGCACGACGGCTTCCTGAGTGTTTTGTCAACTATGGGGACGCTGCGTGGACCCGCGCGCGTTGCTCCCGGCCGCCCTGCGAGTGGAGATCGCTCCGCCCCGTGGCTCGTTTGGGGCGACCCCGTCTGGGGCGCGCGTGTACTGGGGGTCCGTGCGTGGGGCACCGTTGGTGGGGGCGTACTGCCCCCACGCCGAGATTTATCCTCTCACTTGCCCGGCGGGTGGAAGCGGGGGCGCGGGCCCGGGGCTGTCACGCAGTGGCCACACCGCCCTCTGCCCTGGCCGGGGGATCCCGGGGGGCGCCGGACTGTCACCGCGCGTCCCACCGCCGCGCTTCCTGCTCTGGCCCGCGGCTGGGCTCTGATTGGAGGGAGCAGGGCCCTTCTGCCCGGCGTTTCTTGATTTCTTCCGTTAGGAATGGGAAGGAAAAAAAAAAAAAAAAAAAAAGAAAATCTGGAAAGCCAGATTGAACTTTGTAGCTGGAGAAACTCTCCCAAGAATTTGGCGGGCTGGAAAATGCGTATGAAGCAGGAGCATCCACACCCACGGAATGAGGCCAAGGCAGTTACAGTTAGAGGTCAGATTTATGAGGGGAGAGGTGGGGTGAGGTCCGTGGGTGGGGAGACTCCGATCTCAGCTTGATGGGAAGACCTGATGCTACCCCTCAGACGCTGTATTTCTCAGCCACCAAAGAAGAGGAATCACTCCTTAGTGTATGCTTTGATCAAGCTTTTGAAAACCCTGTATGTCCCGGGAAGGAAAATCGAACGGGACGGTTTTCCCCTTTTAAGAGTGTTAAAGGTCCCAGAGACAAACAGCAGAAGGCTCAGGGAGCACGAAGACCCAACCTGAAGTTCTCTCTGAGCAAGAGATGGTGTGTAAGGAGCAGGCAGATGAGACAAAGCTGAGCTCATCACCGCAGCTGCGGCTTCTAGCCCTCTAGCTGTCAAGCAAGCCCTTCATCATTTGCCGTCTCTGCCCTCCCCTGTCCCAGACCCCCACTCTACCCCGCCTCTCCAGTCGTCAGCTCCTGCCGCCCCTGCCGCCCCATTGCTATGGTCTCTGTTAGGTGGCCCCCTTCTCTCTGAAGCTTTGCTTGTTCTCCGAAAGTCCTGTTCCTGAAGAGCTTATGATCTGCAAGGGCAGATGGGGTTTGGGCAGTACATGGTTAACTGTAGCACAGCTTGAAAAGTGCTCTGATAGATGTGGGCAGGCACCGTTTGCATGCCGGTAAATGAGAGGTCCTTTTTCAATACCATGAATCCAAGTATTCATGCTATTTTAAATCTGCAATTCTCTGACTCTCCAGAGGGTTTTTAGATTAATTTTTTTTTTTATTATGTCCTAGCGCTTGTTGCTTAGTGCAGAGTACTTGATTAAAACTTAAGCAGGTCTGCTGGGCGCAGTGGCTCACCCCTGTGATCCCAGCACTTTGGGAGGCTGAGGTGGGTGGATCACTTGAGGTCAGGAGTTCAAGACCAGCCTGGCCAATATGGGGAAACCCCATCTCTACTAAAAATGCAAAAATTAGCCGGGCGTGGTGGCACATGCCTGTAATCCTAGCTACTAAGGAGACTGAGGCACAAGAATCATTTTAACCCGGGAGGCGGAGGTTGCACTGAGTAGAGATGGCGCCACTGCACTCCAGCTGGGTGATAGAAGGAGACTCGTCTCAAAAAAAAAAAGCACTGCCTCTGGAATTTTCCCGGAAGCCCACCTCTTCTGGGCTTCAGTTTTCTCACCTTTGAGGGTCTGAAACTACAGAATTTCTAAGAGTCTTCTCTGCCCTATACCTTTAATTCTTTCAAGCAAACATAGCAGAGAAAAATTCTCTCAACGGCAATAGTATAAATAATGGAGACCTTTGAAAATGTGGGTTCTAAGGTGGAAGTTCCTTTTCTTCTTCCCCTTTCTTCCTTTTAAACAGCTTTGGTTACAGGAGTGTATACTTCTTCTCGGACTTAAGCGCCTTTTGGTGATGTCCTGCACAGTCTTCATAACCGTGGTTTATGTGCAGCGCTTTCCCTGCACCCAGTTGGTTGTTTTTTTCTCATTAATGGAGCTGTTGAGCAGAGATCTTTTTTTCAGGGGTATTGTATTGATCTTTTAAGTGTCATGTGAAGTATGTTCCAATCTCTGTAACATTTTATTTTGGAGAGTAAAATGGGAGTAAATGGAATTTTGAAGGTGCCTTGAGTAGATGTACTTGGCTTTGTGTAATAGTTTGAAGTGTAGTTTAAAATCACTACGTGTGGTTGGGCGCGGCGGCTCACGCCTGTAATCCTAGCACTTTGGGAGGCCGAAGCAGGCAGATCACGCAGTCCAGGAGATCGAGACCATCCTGGCTACCGTGGTGAAGGCCTATCTCTGTTAAAAATACAAAAGATTAGCTGGGCATGGTGGCACGTGCCTGTTGTCCCTGCTACTTGGGAGGCTGAGGCAGGAGAATTGCTTGAACCCGGGAGGTGGAGGTTACAGTGAGTGGAGATTTCACCACTGCACTCCAGCCTGGGCAACAGAGAGACTCCCTCTCAAAAAAAAAAAAATTACCACTTGTAAAAAATTGCATCGCATGTTGAATGACCTACAAAGAAGCTCCAATTCTAAGGAGTATGGCAACTAATTCTTTAAAATAGCAAGACCGGGTGCTGTGGCTTATACCTGTAATGCCAGCACTTTGAGAGGCTGAGGTGGGAGGATCACTTGAGCCCAGGAGTTAGAGGCTGCAGTGAGCTACGATCATGCTACTGCATTCCAGCTTGGGTGACAGAGTGAGCCCCTTTCTGTAAAACATAAAAAGGTAGCCGGGCACGGTGGCTCAAGCCTGTAATCCCAGCACTTTGGGAGGCCGAGGCGGGTGGATCATGAGGTCAAGAGATCGAGACCATCCTGGTCAACTTGGTGAAACCCTGTCTCTACTAAAAATACAAAAAATTAGCTGGGCGTGGTGGCGCATGACTGTAATCCCAGCTACTCAGGAGGCTGAGGCAGGAGAATTGCCTGAACCCAGGAGGCGGAGGTTGCGGTGAGCCGAGATTGCGCTGTTGCATTCTAGCCTGGGTAACAAGAGCGAAACTCCATCTCAAAAAAAAAAAAAAAAAAAACTACCATAAAAAGGTAAATAAACAATCTAAAAATAAAATATGAAGCCCCTTTCCAATTGATCTCTTTGGTAAGGTGGGAATTCAATGTGCTTGAGTTTCTTAAAGCCACATTTCTCGGTAGAAAGGAGACAATTTTCTCTGCTATTCCTAGTTATTTGGATGATTATAGGGCTTAAAAATAGCCATTTGGTTAAGTCGTGAGCTACTGAATTACAGTTTTTGCTTAGCTCAGTAGGATTTGCCTTCATTTTGATTTGTATTCTTATCTTAATTTAGGAAAAGGTCTTTGTTATATGCTCCGTATAACATATAAACATGTAAAGTACTTTGTTCTTTTAGGGCATCTGGTTTTAGGAGAGGGCTTCAAAACTCGACCAGATTTTCTTTATGGTTTTCTAGATTCTATTAATGTTTGAATAAAACGTCACTAGTTAATGCTGCTTGGAGAAGACAGAGGCCATATTTTGAACTCTGCATTTCAGAGTTGTCTTCCCTAGCCCTGGCCTGGGGTCCCAAACAGAGAACTTCATTCGCTCTTTCACTGACGCATGCGCTTTACTTCCATGTCATCGGTATGCTGTCCTAGAGATTTGCTGTGGCTGCGTGGAGTGTTTCGGGTAAGAACTGACCATCCTTCTCTTTTGTTGGATGAGGAGTCTGTAAACCATCTTGTTGCCTTTAGTATTATTTGCCCGGAACTGGAAGGTCGGAGATAAAGTTTTCTTAGATTAGAAGTCGAAGTCTTTGGTATCTGCCTTCCCCTGTCTCCCATGTCACCTGCTGGTTCTTGTTTTTTCGTTTTTCATTTTAATGTTTTTATTGGATGGGTGTCTATTATTGCAGGCTACCTCAATACATTTTGGATATTGACAAGACATAAGTATGACTAACATGTAAAAAATAACTTACTCTAGTTCTTTGGAGCAGAGGCCTTGACTTCGATATGTGGCCTCATGAAGGCTTTTGTTAAGTCCAAGTACTTTTCTGAACTTAGTTCCCTCACCGGTAAGATGGGTAGTTGTTAGTAATACCTGTCTGCCTACTTCAGGAGATTGTTTTGAAGATCAAATGCAATCATGAATGTAATGGAGTTTCGTAAATTTTAAATAAAATATTGTATTGCCAAAGATGTAAAAAAGCTGCCTCCTTAAGAATGGAATGAATCCGGGTTTTCCTCCGAAGTCCCGAATGTTTAATGTTGAGAAGTCTCAATGTTGCGCGGGGCAGCCTCATTAGGGTTGTCTTCTATCTTTCACTGACCAGCACTGTTTACAGTTAGCATTGGGGAGCATCAGGTTCGTGTCTCAGCGATCATTAATGTTTTGCTCATTACTGAATGTGTGTGGTTTAGTCTTTAACAGTCTCTTCAATTATTTACATTCCCATGTAAAAAATGAAGTAACGAGTGTTGTTTCCCATGTAAATAACATTCCCAGGCTTTAATGAAGCATCATTTCTTGTCATTTCAGTTTTTTTTTGAGACCGAGTTTCGATGTTGTTACCCAGACTGGAGTGCAATGGCACGATCTCGGCTCACCGCAACCTCTGCCTCCTGGGTTCAAGCAATTCTCCTGCCTCAGCCTCCCGAGTAGCTGGGACTACAGGCGCATGGCACCACACCCAGCTAATTTTTGCATTTTTAGTAGAGATGGGGTTTCATCTTGTTGACGAGGATGGTCTCAATCTCTTGACCTCATGATGCACCCGCCTCAGCCTCCCAAAGTGCTGGGATTATAGGTGTGAGCCACCGTGCCCGGCTGACATTTCAGTTTCTAAGTGCCCTGTCTTGAGGTTGGGAAAGCTAAAGGGCAGTCAGAGGTCGAGGTCAGCAAAGCATCATCTTTGACCTTTGAAATCCAGCAGCAGGCCTCACAGTGAACCCCACTCCAGCACCCAGGAGCTTTCTCTGCACCTGCCTCCCCT